AATAGTGTGCGATTTTTGAGTGTGAGATCGTCATTGAAAAACAGTCTTTGATCGTTTCCCTCCAGGTCGCATTTCTTCACTGTAGTCCCCTTAATTTGTCCTATCCGTGTAAATAGTTGCTTCTTTATCTGGTAATTATCAAATTTCACCAAGATTGGTCCTTTGCCGCTTTTATTCAGTCTGAAACTCTCCTTTATTTCACCATTTTTTAGGGGCACCTGCATCTTGTGCAAAATTTTTTCCACAGTTTGTTGTGCGTGAGGGTCACTTTGTTCTGAGACCCCCACAACAACAATGTTGTTCAGCTTATCTTTTTGCTCCATTTCCTCGAATTTGCTCTCTAGGAGTTCCACTTTTTGCTTGAGGTTGGTATTTTCATCCCGCAGGAGTTTAATTTCAGCAAGGGCTTCTTCAAAAGACTTTCTTTGTTCCTCAAAGGAGTCTGACATATATTGCACTGATTTTGTTATTTCCTGCATATCTCGTTCGATGCCTTTTTTAAAGGGCTCCAGCACTTCATTTAAACATTCTCTCACAACAGTTTTGAGATTGTTTTCATCCACTTTTGAGACTTTTTAATTCCCGGAATTTTTCGGCCTGTTGACACTTCACATAACCTCACTTATAAATATCGCCTAATAACTATAAGATCTATCGAAATAAAATCAATACACTTATCCACAATTCCAAAAATATGTATTATAACTCAAAATAAGAATGACAGTTAAAAAGTTTGGCAATCAATTAACGAATATTATAATAAAAATTCAGTTAAAACAATTGATATCAAAGAGGTTAGAAATAGAGACAATAAATTACTTAGAGAAAAGCAAGAAATAGTAACTGCTTTTAATGAACATTACCTATCAGTTGGTAAGAATTTGGCATTAAAAAAAATAACAATCAAGTAGAGCTCGAACAGGACACAACTAAGAGGCGCAATCAAAACTCCATGTTTATTACACCTAGGGATGCACCGAGTATTCGGTTTGCCGAATATTCGGCCACTTTTGAGTAAATGCCGAATATTCGTTATTTGGCCAGCAGCGATAAGGTATTCGGCGAATATTCGGCAAATATTTGGCAATTATTCAAAAACACACAAAGGCACACAAGTCGCCACAGGAATAGACCTATCTATTTTACCAGACAAAGAGGTAATAATACGAAAACTTCATTAAATAAAAAAAGACACAGAACGCTCATTGCGCAAGACGAGGCAAAACGTACCAAATTATGTTAAACTTACGTATAGCAATCCGTCCTTCTATTTGGACGGGATAAAAGGAGAAGGAGAAAGATCGCGTGTTGTGCAACGTATTTGTCAATGAAAATTTCAAACAACTTTTGAATGTCACTTGTCAAGCTTTGTCAAGTTGAATATCAACCGTACTTTTATTCTTGTCAGACCACGAGCAATGAACAAGGACAATGGGATGCCCAGTATGCAAAACGAACACCTCACACCTGTACTAGCTAGCCAATGAAAATGCATTGCCTCGTGTTGCGCGCGCATACCAGGTAAAAATAGATAGGTCTATTCACATTAATGAAAATAAAATCGGTATCGCCAACTGCCAACAATGCCAACCCCAAACTAACCCAACAACCCAACCTTCAAAACAGAAGAAATCCCAATGACATTGAAAAAGCCTAAGAAATTATGCAACCAACAATTCATATTAACCGCATATTCGGCCGAATATTCAGCCAAAAAACCAGGCCGAGGACCGGCCGAATATTCGTTATTCAAACCACTATTCGGTGCATCTCTAATTACACCTTTCACAAACATAGAAATTGGAGAAATTATTGATTCCTTGAAACCGAATACTTCTCCCGGAATCGATGGTATCACTAGCAGTACTATAAAAGAAATAGGCACAGAAATATCGCCTCACCTGCTACATTTAATAAATATCATTTTTGGAAGGCCAATTACGACAATATAAACCAAAAAATATCTGAAACGAAGTTCCCAAACAACATGGACACATGTATAGCAAATATAAACACCATCATTCAACAAAGTATTCCCTTGCGAAATACTAGAATAAATCCTCAAAAACCGTGGATAAACCGTCACCACTTCAAAGAAATTCAAAAGAAGAGGAACCTCTGGAACAAGTACCAAAATCTCAAGATTCCCCAGTCTTACCAGGAATAGAGAAACCCAAAATAACCTACTGAAAAATATGCTGCAACAAACAAAGCAACAATAGGAACACGGTTTGCTCAAGAAGTGAACGTTCACAGTTCTCCAGATTTTAGAGGAAGAGAATGTTCTACCTGCATGCAATAGCAATAATGCTGCTAGCGACCTCCTTGTCAGCAGGATGTTGTTTGCCAATTGTAATCAATTAAATAATATAAAAAAAATATTGTAATAATGTATTATTGGATCTAGTGTTTAGTAATAATGATAAAACAGATGTGATTTGTCCATGTGATATTCTTTTGTCTTGTGATAATCATCACCCAGCACTTCTGGTTAGTATACTTGAAGTTAATAATTATAAACCACTGCAATTTGAAGAGCCAGTCTATGATTTTAAGAATGCTAACTTCTATTAATGTAAATTGGGACCAACTGCTTATTAATAACATTGATTTAGATCTTGATTGTTCTTGTAAAATAATTCATTACTGTTTAGAAATGTTTGTGCCAAAGATATTAATAAGAAATAATTTTAAATTTTCAATATGGTTTAGTTATGAACTAAAACAATTAATTTCCAAAAAAAAATTGCCAGTAGTAATATAACTAGTGCATAAAATATTTCCGGAAATTTTTGAAAATTTTATCTGAAGCCAATTTTTTAACAAAATCATGAGTGCATAGCGCCTGTAAAAATCCCGAACCCGAAGGGTGAGGGTTTCTTTCTTCGGCGCTATGCACAAATGGTTTTGTTTAAAAAAATTGGCTTCCATTCCTTTGAACAAAATAAAATCAGTTTTAGCACCAATATCATACACTATTTTTTCTATAAGCGCACTAAAAGTGATTACTTTTAGCACTAGTGCTAAAAGTAATCACTTTTAACACCAGTGTCATAAAATGGCATTTTAGACACTGACAGCATCCGTTAAAAATTATACTTTTAGTGACGTTTGTAGAAAAATTAGTTTTCCTACGAGCGTGCGCAAAGTAGTACTTTTCCGCACGCATTTCCGGGCTCAAAGTTACACTTTTCCGCACTCAGTGCGGATACAGGCCTTATCCGCACTGAGTGCCGAAAAGTAATTATAATTGTCAAGCAACAATAAGTGCACCTGTCGACTTTGACACATGATGACAAATTTTTCCTCTATTTCTATATCAGCCAACATCTATACAAACACCAATTATAAATTAACTTTGACACATTGTCAGATTTGTTCTCTATTTATATGCAAAAATCTACAAACTTTCTCATCAAATTTAAACGCTTTAAGATGAACAGCTCTGACGAGGATTTTCTGTTTTTTGTTATGTAATTTTTTGATAAATGCATAGGTTCCCTTCAAGTTAATTAAAAATAATTAAACAAATTATCGTTTTTTGTTTAAATTTCTGTTATTACGTACCTGATATGAAGCTCGTAGGAAAAATTTTGTTCCTAACACGTGCGCAAAGTGTCTTTTCCGCACGCAAACACGTATCCGAACTCCGCTTCGCGTCGTTCGTATAACTGTATTCGCGTGCGGAAAAGTAACACTTTGCGCACTTGTTAGGAAAATAACTATTTCCTACGAGCGTGCGCAAAGTAGTACTTTTCCGCACGCATTTCCGGTCTCAAAGTTACACTTTTCCGCACTCAGTGCGGATACAGGCCTTATCCGCACTGAGTGCCGAAAAGTAATTATAATTGTCAAGCAACAATAAGTGCACCTGTCGACTTTGACACATGATGACAAATTTTTCCTCTGTTTCTATATCAACCAACATCTAGGTATACAAACACCAAATATAAATTAACTTCGACACATTGTCAGATTTGTTCTCTATTTATATGCAAAAATCTACAAACTTTCTCATCAAATTTAAACGCTTTAAGATGAACAGCTCTGACGAGGATTTTCTGTTATTTTTTTTTGTTATGTAATTTTTTGATAAATGCATAGGTTCCCTTCAAGTTAATTAAAAATAATTAAACAAATTATCGTTTTTTTTTTTTTTTTAATTTTTGTTATTACCTACCTGATATGAAGCTCGTAGGAAAAATTTTCTTCCTAACACGTGCGCAAAGTGTCTTTTCCGCACGCAAACACGTATCCGAACTCCGCTTCGCGTCGTTCGTATAACTGTGTACTGTGTACTTTGCGCACTTGTTAGGAAAATAACTATTTCCTAATTTCTTCGTTGAACTTGGTTTTGTGTTTATCTGCGCTACAGCGTTCACTACAACAGGACCACTGCGACTATAATTGGATTTGAAGGGTAAGTTTGTGTGAATAATTTCCTATGGCTTACCAGTAATAAATCAAGAAGTGATTGTTGATCGTTTCTAAATCTGGTGTTGAAATCTATTACCTATCTGTTTAGCATTGTTCTACATAAAAATGTAGGAATTCTTGTGCTGGCTGATTTTGTTGGTTTAGTGAAAGAGTTTTCCAGTCTTTTTGTCTATTATTAAAGTCTCCGAACACTGTAGTGATGGTCGAGAATTCGACCACTTGTTTAAGGTACTCCAGAAGTTGTCTGTTTGTTTCTATAGGTATGTTTTGTGGTCTGTATATGCATGTTAAAGCGAGTTTAAGTGTTGTGAGTGTGATATCCAATAAAAACGCATCAATACCATCAGGCGGTTGGAATCTCTGGTTTAATGCTACTTTGGGTTTGACACCTGCAAAGCTTTCACGTACATAAATTATAACTCCACCCCCTTTTCTGTTTTCTATGTCTTTTCGAAATGAAAAATAATTTGGTATGCCTACCATTGCATCAGGAACGTCCTAGTGTAGCCAGGACTTTGTTACTAAAATACAACATGCTATTCTAAGCAAATCTTTTTTTCTAGATTATGGCAGACCCCACTACACATAGCAGCCGCACACGACGCCTATAACTGCGTAGATAAACTCCTGAATTTCGTACCAAATCCGAATGTTACGGATAGATCTGGAAGAACTGCCCTGCATCACGCCGCCTACAATGGAAATACTTTTGTTGCTCAACTTCTTATCGAGAGGGGTTGCATTGTGAATGCTTGTGATAAAAAAGATTGCAGGTAATTGACTTTTTGGTTTATTTGTGTACAATTATTGTGATTTATTATCTTTGATTAATGCATTATGTCCGTATTACATGTGTGTATTTTTCCGCGTATTTATTCATGTAGTTCAGGGTGACAACCAAAAAACTTCAAACGCTACATAAATCAGCATTATGAAAAACGAAATAATGTTGGCACCCTGAATTACATGAATAAATACACGGAAAAATACATAGATGTAATACGGGCTTTATACAATAAAAATAATTAGACACATGAGGACAATTTTAATATCAATAAAATTAGAATAAAGATGACACATTCTCACCTCACCCTAAGCACAGTGTATAATATCTAGAATGTTGGGACCTATTTTTTGATGTTGTCTGTTAATTTAAATAAGATTCATAAATAAGTTCTTCGATAACCTCCCAATATACAAGGTGTTTCACGAACATTGGAACAAAGGCGTTTTAGGGTATTTAAGGTCGATTAAGAAAAAACGCTCGGACACGTCAATTTTGTATTCAACGGAGAAACTTTTGACTCCATCGGTATTTCGCTAGGGTGCACTGTGTGGGTGACTTTCACCTTCACCCCTTATTTTTAGATAGGGAAGATGGGTCGAGTGGTACCTTATTTTAAAGATATTTTGATCCTCGTCCCAAGTACGTTTTTTTTTTCAAAATCGAATGATTAATGTCTGTCCAGCGACTTTGTGTCTACGGGGCAACGGTAAGGGGAATGCAGTTGTAAAAAAAAATGGCTGATTTCATTCATAAAATACCCAGCTGCGTGCGGAACTTTTTGGAAGTGTTATCGTATTGCAACTCGTACACGAAAATCAGCAATGACCAAATCTCCGCCACTGGATATTTCAATATAAATCGATATTCCAAGATGGGAGGATAAAATGACGTGAGCCCTAGCCAATAGCGAAATGTAAGGTGACGTTAGCTCATTGACAACCCTATGGTTCCCCATGACAACTGCGATCCTGCCAAAAACTCCACCAATCAGGTTCATCCAGGACGGATGCTTGCCAAATTGTCAAAAGCTGATGGTATCTTTAGAAAATGTTTATTTTTTACAATAGACCAAATTGAAGGAATCAGGATTAAAATAAGGATAGATCTAATAACCACGTTAAAATATTTAGCGTTGTTTTATTATTATTATCAATATTTTGTTATTAAAAAATGGATTTTCAAATTAACTATACTTCATGCCTAGTATTTTCGCTTTTTTATAATTAAACGTGGCAATATGGCACATTTACGTCCGAATTCCTTCCGTAGACTCAGATCCGCTGGGCAAACAATAGTTCTCAATATATTCACTGTCAAAGTTGCCATGGTCTAAATGAGAAACAATTTTCTGGACCTGTTGTTCTCAACTCAACACTTTCCTGACTTACCTCTCGGACACGTCAATTTTAATTTGTATATATTTTTACACGATAACTTAATTAAATAGCCATTCATAAGCACAATATTTCAGGCCTATTCATTGTGCAGTCCAAATGGGCCATATCGACACTGTAGAACTTTTACTGAGATTTGGAGCAGATGTCAATGCTAAAGACAGAAATCAATACACTCCATTGCATGTAGCTGCTGCAAGTGGTCAGTATTTTTAACAAAAATTTATCAATAATAAAATTGTTAACTGAAATTTTTAGGCATAGAAAGTGTAATAAGACTTCTGCTAAACTCTGGAGCCGAAGTAAACATCCAAAACAGCTACGGAAACACTCCACTACATGTCGCCTGCCTCAATGGTCATTTGGCTTGCTGTCAAGAGCTAACCCAAGCCGGTGCAGATATTGAAGCAGTCAATTTCAGAAATCAAACACCTTTACATGTTGCTGCAGCCTCTACACACGGCGTATACTGCCTTGCCTTTCTTTTGGCAAATAATGTCGATATAAACAAGTGCAGCAATGACGGTAGAACTCCATTACACATGACAGCAATTCACGGTCGCTTTACAAGAAGCAAAAGCCTCATTGATGGAGGAGCTTTGATTGACTGCGCTGATAAAAATGGGTCTACTCCATTGCATATAGCCGCTCAATATGGTCATGATCTTTTGGCAAATACTTTATTGAGTGTCGGGGCTAGTCCTACTAAAAAAGGTTATGAGGGCAGGACACCTTTACATATGTGCTGTTTGTCGGGTTATGTAGAGTGTTGTAGGAAATTTTTGCAGACTGGCGTTAACTTGAATGAAAGAGACGACAGCGGTAGGACGCCTGCTCATTGTGCTGCTTATAAAGGGTGAGTTAAGTGATACAATTCAATACTGTAACAATTATTTAATTATGGTTTTATAAATAACCCAAACTGCATTGCAATACTGTTCGGATTTTGCATGCCACACATTTAACCTGACCTCAAGAAAAATAAACTGAAAATTATCGAAAATTACAATCTTATATCACTTATATTCATTGTAACTTCAGATCAAAACTGGATTATGAATCGCTTCTATGATTTTAAGCATAGAGCCTAGTCTTGTCCTGTAACAAAGTCTCATTTCCATTACTTGCAAAAATTCTAATAACATATCTTCTGTGTTTGATATACATAATGATATGTACCAGAAGCTCGTTCAGTGTTTCGGAGTATGAACATCGTTAGCTTCTAATTAGACTCCTTATTATATCTCCACTTTCTAAATGTAACCGATGAATACAAATAACTAAATCGTGATAAGCAAACAGAGTCTAAATAGTAAATATTTTCCTAGATCAATCGAGTGTCTCGATCTTCTAACAAGTAACGGCGCCAATTTCAAATTAAAAGACAATTTTGAGCGTCTTCCATTGCACTATGCAGCTGCACAAGGGCACTTTCAATGTGTCTTCACTTTAGTGGGAATCGGAAGTCCTATTAATGACAGGTAAGAATAAACTAGTTCATGACACATTATGTGTGTAAAAAATAAATATTCTTAGAGATATAGAAGGTTGTACACCATTACATTTGGCTGCTGCACACGATCATGAGTCTAAATGTGTTGATTATCTGCTTAATCACAGGGCAGATCCGAAAATTAAGGACGTTAGAGGTAACTTGGTTGAAATAAAACCAAGTGATTATTATTTATTCGATCTATTTTAAGGATTTTCTCCACTTCATTACGCTATTGCTTGTGGCAATGTTAGAGGAGTTAAGCTACTTTTACATCGTACTGAAGAAGCTGTGTTCAAAAAGGAAGGAGGGTCTCCCGATGTCACACCACTACATCTAGCAGTAAGTTACGGCTTGTAAATAATTTGGAAAGCGCTAAATATTCTTGTTATTTTTAGGCCAAATTAGGAAATGTTGCGATACTCAAGTCAGTGTTAACAAAATACACCGATGTTAATATACAAACAGACCAAGGTAAGAATTACTTTTATTGTACAATATTTTTTATTTTTTTAATCCAATTTCTGTAGGTTTGACTCCTCTTATACTGATAGCTAGAGAAGGCCACATTCAATGCGTTCACTTCCTATTGCGCTGTGGTGCCAAAGTGTCTCTATGTGATAACGTGAATCTGATGACTGCTGTACACTATAGTGCCAAAAATGGACATTTTCAATGTCTTACTTTTCTATTACACAACACCGAAGATCAGAGTGTGGTTAATATGGTGGACAGACAACAGAGAACAGCACTTATGCTGGCAGTTTCTGGAAATCACACAGAATGTGTTCAAGTGCTTTTGAGATGTGGGGCTGATCCAAATATTGTTGATACTGATGAACATTCTTGTTTATTTAGAGCGGTAAGTAAATGACCTTATTTGCTGAGAATGATCTATACTTGAGTTTTATCAAGTTTATTTTATTATTTATTTATTTATTTATTCATTTAACCACAAATACAAATTATTAATATAGTTATGTGTAGCCATTAAATCCCTTTATCAAGTCCTACATATTTTCATAGAGGCACCTACACTTTATTTTTTCCCAAGATAGATTTTGACATTGAAAACTTTGAAAAATAAACAATAACGCTTGACCCTGATTGGTCGGGAAATGAGGTGTTTCTGCAGGTTGACATCAGTTTTACAATAGCGACCAATAAGCGGCATTAGCGGCATTGTTTATGTTTCAAAGTTGACAATGCCAAAATCTATCTTGGGGAAAAAATAAACTATAGATGTTAGATACATCTGTATGTGCCCCATCCCCCATCTACAACTAATCTGTATAGTGCCCTCCTAAGAATAAACGCGGTATGCTCATGAGGTGGTGAACTTAAATATTCACTTTTAGTTTTTGGCTTGGCCCTTTCGCATTTATGACATTTAAATATTTTTTATTGTAGATTCTTGTTTCAAATATCTCCAGAATTCTATAGAAATTTTTTTAATTTGATGAAATTTAATACTTTTTCCAGAAATCTACATACCGCATTTATTCTTATTATTATGAGGAGTTTCACCAAGAATGAAATCGGTAAATTGAATATACCGCGTTTTTCTTAAGAGTTTCCTAGAGGTATTTGGTATCAGATGCTAAAAATGAGAACAGTATGTGCTAAAACTTAATTTGGTTTTTGTATTTACTATTTTATGAAGATTTTATGGAAAAAACTTACTTGCATTTAGAAAAAATATATTACCAAAATATAAGTTTGCATAAAATTAACATAAAAGTATAGGAAAATTTAAAAAAAAACTGTTTATATAAAATAAATGGAAAATTACCATAAAAGCAAATTGAACATAAATTTTAATCATCGCACTCTGGAAGATTCACCCAAAACTGCTTCCGGTTCTCTGGAATAATACCTTCGAGAGCTTTAAGCAAGTTTTCTTTTTTGGACTTTGAAAAACCACATGGCTTAGGACAAGAAGCAACTGGTGCCAACAAAGGTCCAGATTCTTTCATAGCTTTTCTGCATAGAAAATCTAAGTTTTTAAAGCCTTCCTTGTCTATCAATGATGTTTTGTACTGGAGAATATACTTTCCTCGAGTAGCTTTTATTTGCACAATATCTGATAAGCGCGAGAAATTTAAATCTTGTTTAAGTTTTGTCTGCGATTTGAAATCTTGCCATAAGTAGAAGTCGTTATCAGTCATCATCTTTACGTCGGTTTTAGATTTTCTGGATGTTCTGACAGCTTGAACAAAGTCATCAAAATCATAAGTTTTTCCCTTTTTTTTTTTCATAAAGGAATTTTAGATTAACACTAAATTATTGGAAAATAATTTGCTATTGAACGAAAATTAATCTGGCATGCTAGAATAGAAAATAACACGATATGAAGGCAAAAAGTTGAAAAACCGAAGAAAAGTTGCTAAGTTTGAATGTCTATATCTCGGCCATTTTTTATCGTATGAACTTCTAACCGATGCCATTTTACCGAGAATTACATAGGCTTCGTTTTTCATGAAGCAATGCCTATGCTTAGGTCAACTCAGAAAAAAGTTATTAGGCAAAAATTAAAAAAAAAATAAAACCTCAATTTTTTTATATTTTTTTTAAGTTGTTTTTCGGATTTATTTTGTTGAAAAAACAAGTATTTGGATTTGTCAAGATATCATTTCGATAGGAAATTTTATTCTCTACAAAAAACCTTTGTGTATTTATGCACTAAAAATGCATAGTTTTTGAGTTATAGCCGAAAACCCAAAAATCTGACAAAGTCACCCCGCTCTTAAAAATGCACCCCTATATCTGGTAGCACTCCGTGGTTTTATATATTTCATAAAATTCCACTAACGCATTAGTTCCTTTTACCCCCGTTTTTTTCGACATATAGTCAATAGCCTATATGATGAACTATTTGACACACAAAATGTCACAATATAGCACTTAATACGGAAATACCACATAATAACTGCTTTCAATGCAGGCGAAGGTTCAAGCTAAGCGATTCTTTCGGACAGTTTGCAAAGTTTCAGAGGCTCTTGTGAGAATAGACCTTAACGATGTGTTTACAGACAGTTGACGTCACGAGTTCCACCATCTTGAAGCTAATCGTTTTCGCGCCAACGAAAATAATTTGAAATTTAAAATAATTTTTTAATTTTAATGAGGACATAAAACAAAAAAAAAACATATACATTTTATATTTGAAAACATAAGCAATAAGGAAAAAAATACTCTGAAAAATATGATTGTTCCCTATTTAGACGGAGTCTGTTATTGTCCAATTAAAGAATCACTAATTTCAAGAGAAAAACGAAATTCCATAAAATGGCCATTATTTCCATAGCAACGCAATGTATCGAAAAAATGGCAAAGGCGACCCGAGGTGTTGACCTAGTGATCCACCCACCATTAGAAAGAACTTTATTGCACCTCCCATTATCCTCACGTTCTTCGACAAAAAATGGAAATTTTTGCCGCCTTATATTCACACCCCGTATAACGAGAAGGAATGTTTTTAAAAAATATCCGACGACACTGACGCATACACCAAAAATGACCCTTTGTAACACTGCCTGAAAATCTAAGATCGGCAAAGAAATGTCGAAGTTATAGGAAGTCAAAATTAGGCAATTTTTTGGGTGTCCTGTTGATAATTATTACTTCATTTTATTTTATATTTCAATAACTGCAATGATCTGGATTTTCAAAGAACTTCTTTTATTAGGACAACTTTTTACAAAAATCTTCTGCATTACATACTCATTTTTTATATTGACATTGACTACTATTCATTGACTTTTAACACACATTCTTCAACTGCCAATACAATAATGTCAAATCAACTTATATTTTATAATTATTATTTAAACTAAACCATAAGGTTTTCCCAACAGTCCCACTACATCTGCCGCTTAGTTTAGTTTAGCTTCCTCGCACATTTCACATTCCTCGTTGCCTATTTTTGCAAAAAAAAATTAATTTATTTATTTATCAACGGGCAATTATTGCCCAATTAAAAGACAAGTATTATAATTAACAAGTGAGAATCTTAACCTAACCTATCACCTAGAATATCAAAACATAAGAAAACAATAAACAGTAACATATAAAAAAGATATAGCATTAAATTAACATAAAACATAAGGTAAAAACTACAAAATACTTGAATAAAATTAACTTTTTTTTTTCCTTAAATTATAATTATTCTTTGGGACATTAAAATATCACAGAGTACAGGACTTAAGCTGGGATTTAAAAACTTTTTGATTATCAAAACAGTCCACCCTGTTAGAACACTGATTAGCAAATCTAGCCGACCTTGACAGAAAAGAATTATATCTGTAGTTAGTACCAATTTGGAAAGGCTGATTTAGCCTTGTTTGTCTAGAAGGGACATGGATATTGACTTTTGCCAGTAGCTCTGGACCAAAGCTGTATGAGTGCAGTAGATTATAGAATATGGTAAGATCCTTGTGTATGCATCTGATCTGAAGAGTAGTAATATTAAAGGCCGTTTTACAGCTTGCAAGAAAACTTGAATGCCATTTTTTGCATGCAAAAAAATTGCATTCAAGATTTCTTGCACGTCGTTTTACACCTTGCAATTTGACTTGTTTCTTTCTCTAACCTTAACCATACTTTTATGTTTTTAATGTTATGTTGTTGATATTTGCATCTTCCAAAAATAAAAAAAGTTATTATAAGTGAATATAAAAAGAAGAAAGCAATACCAGCAAATTTAAGCATCATAATTGCTAAAAATTCTCCAGCTTGCACGAAAACCTTCAAGAAAAATGGCACCAAACCGATTGCATGCAATGCCATTCAAGTTTCAAGAATCTTGCAGAAATCAATCAGCTGACTCACTTCTGCGCATGCCCTCGTTCAAGTCATATTGCAGATAGAATTGCAAGCTGTAAAACGGCCTTTAGGGAACTTTCAACCCGTGAGTAATTGATATCTTCAACTTCATGGCGTTCCTTAAATGAAATAAATCTCAAGAATTTATGTTGGACTCTCTCAATAGCCTAAATATGGACGTTGTAGTGGGGGGACCATACACAAGAACAGTAATCTAGATAAGGCTTCACAAGAGAACAGAATAATATTTTGATGGATGCTACATTTAGAAAATCTTTAGCGCACCTTTTAATAAAACCTAGGATTTGAAGTGATTTTGATACTGCCATTGATATATGGGGTATGTAAGATAAGTTGGAATCAAGGACTACACCTAGCTCTTTGATTTGATTTACAGATTCCAGAGGGCAACCATTTATAGTGTAGACTTGTTTTGTGGGATTCCCGCTACGACTGAAGACCATCAGATGGCACTTCTGAACATTAAGTTCCATACCATTAATTTCACACCAGTTGCTGAGACGATCTAAGTCGGCTTGCAGTTCTAGGCAATCAGCATTATTCTTGATTCTTGTGTATAATTTTAAGTCATCTGCAAACATTAGGAAGGAGCCAAAGACAAAAGAGGATGCAATATCATTTACATATAAATTAAAAAGAAGAGGGTCCAGATGTGAACCCTGGGGTACACCCGATGGTACTTTAATTTCTATTGATTGGAATCCCTGAATACGTACCATCTGTGTTCTTTCATATAGGTAAGAGGAAAGCCATTCCAGAAGGACACCCTGAATTCCCAGACTCTGCAACTTATTAATCAAAACTCTATGGTTAACCCGATCAAAAGCTTTTGCAAAATCAGTGTACACAGCATGAACTTGATAACCCTCCTCCAAGGATTCCAAGAGATAGTCAGTAAATGTTAAAAGATTAAGTTCTGTGGAGCGATGAGAAATGAATCCAAATTGTTGATCGATAAAACAGCCTTTTAAACTAGCAGACAAGTAATCACAAACAAGACTCTCAAACACTTTAGGGATACAACTTTATATACTGATGGACCTATAGTTATTAACCTGTGAACTATCTCCAGACTTTAATATGGGAGTAATAAAGCTTGTTTTCCAATAGGCTGGGAATGTCCCGGTTTTTAAAGAGAGGTTGAAGATATGGAAAAGAGGTCTAGAGAACAAGAAGCTACACTGTTTGATAAGTGATGGTGGGAGGCCATCAGGTCCTGGTCCCTTGTTAATATCCAATTTGGATAGTTTTTCATAGATAGACGAGATGGGTTATGTTATATTCCGACAGATTGATGTGCCCAGAAGTCAGAATGTCCTGCAATACACAGTCTATCACTATAAGTTTTGGAAAAGTATTCAGCAAACAAATTGACAATCCCAACTCTAGATGAACTAGTAACACCATCATAGCGCATTACAGAAGGTATATTATTTTTGGTTTTTCTGTTCTTAACAAATTTCCAGAATTTTTTTACATTATCTCTAAGAGACGATTCAGTTAAAGCAACGTAACTTCGATAACATTCTCAGGAAATGTTCTTTGCTCTTACTTTAACTCTATAAGCTTCATATGACACTTTTAAATCTGGATGTTTGGAAACAAAATCTTCATGCATGCTAGAAATCTATATGTCGCTCGGAAGGTACCTCCGATTAGGAGCATGTTCACGCCTATAGTGCGAAATGCTTGGGTTGAATGATTTTATATGTTCATTGATCACTGTATCATCAATTTTGTATTGATTTTTTGCCCTTCCGCGCATATTTGGTAGTGGACGATATTGACCTCTAGGAGTTTTTGAAAGTGTGTCATGAACAATTCTATCATTGTTTTTATGAAATCCTAAAGTTGTTAAAAAAAAAACTTTACATATTTCTCGTCGCTCATCATTTTTTGTTTTAAAGTGATATTTAAAAGTATTGTTTTTTCTGGGAGTGTCTTCACAATGACGACGTTTTTTTACTGTCAAGCGGTCACAAGAACTTAGTATGTAACTTTTTCTTTCTTGACTCGTAAGTTGCCAAAAGTGCTTATTTATATCACTTCGTTCAGTTTCTGAAAAAATTGAGACACACTTTTTCCTGCATTTGTTTGTATTACATCCAGGCCGTAGTTGGTGCTTTTCTATTATAGATTTTTGTCGCTTTTCTTTGTCCTCATATAATTCTTCGGTAGTTTTTGGTTTCTTCCTTTTGCTAATAGTACCTTTTTTCGTATAATTTGACTTCTCAATATTTATTATCTTTCCTGATCCAATCAACTTGCTAAGTGGCATGTTATCCTCTTCATCACTACTTTCCTCCATTTCTTGAATATCAGCAGTAATTGTATCTGTACCATTTAATTCAAATGTTTTCAGCGCGGCACAATTTTCTGTTTGAATCAAATCATCATTACCACCAACGATATTCGGGATAATGTCATCCCTCGCAAAATTATCTAGGTTCATCATAATAGAAACGTTTGGATCATCTTCGGTTTGAATTGGGGCGTAGGAAATATAGTTATTTGAAATTGTACAGGATGTTTTTATTGGAATCAGAAATTGGTGTGTTGGAGCAACTTCTGCCGGTTGGACAGGTACAAGGTCGTCTGGTATATCTGTATTTCCGGAACAATTTTGTGAAAAAGACTCTCGTGGCTGGCATGTAAGCATGGGAGCTGATTCCATCAAACTATCGTTTTGAAACATGTTTTCTAAAGGTGTGTATGATAACTCATTCGGTTGGATTCCGCAGCAACTACTACTAGCAAAATCTGCCATGGGCACTGGTGATAGAGGATTCAAAACTGGTTCATTATCATCATCATAATCCTCTGGCGATAACTCTTGAAACTTCTTGGAAGCCAACTCAAGTATCAAACTTGTCCGATTTCGGAAACTCATTTTCTGGAATAAAATAAGTTTTTTGACTCCCTACATTTCCAATAAATCATAATTAATAATAAGTCAGGTAGGTACCAAAATTTAACTAATCTGGCAAAAGGCATTTCATACCTATACTCCAGTTCTTCGATATGAATGCATTTATATTTTTATATTCCTGGCAATTTAGGTAGTTATTGTTCATAATTTTCAAATACATTTTGTTTGTATCAACTTACAATATTCGATGAAAAAGAAAACTATGAACTACTATGAAAATAAAAAGCAGTTAGTACTTACCAAAGAAATCTATATATTTCTTTCACATTAACAAATAATAGACAGCAAAGAACACTAAAAACAGACAATTGAACTACAATAATAATGAGCCACCCACAACTCGAATGCATCTAATTTTTGAATGAATGAATCACCATTGAAAATCCTCAATCTGTACAATAGTTTCCATACAATTGAAATCCTCGTTGAAATGCATTGGCAATTAACTCAAAATTCGAATACTATTAAATAAGATCCCAAAAGGACTTCAAAAATAGATGTTTAGGTCATATTTCCGAAAATAAACTTTTATGGCATGAGTTAGATGTTTACGGGCAAGGCGACAGAGGAGAATTTTGAAACAAATACTGTATAAGCTTTTCTGGACAAATAACGTACACTTATTTCATTTGGTTGAAAGTTATGTTTTGAAATAATAATGTATTTTTAATTTGCAAGTACCAGTTTATTTTAAAAGTTCATTTTTCTACTGACGTTTCATAATAGCAACTTTTCGATTGTCATTTCAGTTTTGAAACGACATTCTTTTAGGCACTGAGTGCGTGAAAGTTACTTTTAGGCACTCAGTGCGTAAAAGTGACTTTTGAATGCGTAAAAGTGACTTACGAGTGCGTAAAAGTAATTTTTAAGCACTAGTGCCTAAAAGTGTCATTCATTATTCAGAAATAAAAAACACACCAAACACATATTTGAATTTTGTTTTGTATTTATTATGAATATTGAAAATGGAATTACTGAATTGAACGTTTGGGTTACTCAAAACAGAAGTTTGTGTTATTACCTACTTTCTAGGATTTTAATTATTGATGTCGAATTTTGAAAAGAAAATCGCATGAAAAGTGTCAGGTGTCAAGTAAAAGCAGGTAACAAAGATTTTGGGTGTAATCGACTTATTCACATGAAATAAAATTGTGTTTTTTTATTATAAAATGCCAGTAGAAAAAATCTTGTATACAATACGTTACGAAACGATGTCTTTTAGTCACTCGACGTGTTGTCCAACTCGGCTTTGCCTCGTTGGACAATTTTCACGTCGCGTGCCTAAAAGACGCTCATTTCGTAACTTATTGTATAAATAGCTATTTCCGGACTAAAAATAAGTGCGTAAAGGAGTGTTTTTACAATACAGTGTGAAATAAAGTAATTTTACAGGAGTTTTTGTAAAAACACACCAATGATAAATTTCAAACTGCAAGCTTATTTTATACTGTTTTCCCAATATAAGAGAATTTTCAGATAGTTGGTGTGTAAATAATATATTAATAACTTGTTTGTGTGTTGTAATAATGTATGTCAAACCATTCCTGAAAAAAAAAACCTGTCTAATAGAACAGTACTTAACAATCATAAATAAGTGACAAAGACCTAAATAAAATAGGATTGCAACACGTTATCATCTTTTCTTGTTTAGATATGTTGTCTTTGTAAAAGTATGAATTATACTTAGCCCATATTTCCTTTCTTTCAAAAATTCACAGCGGCTGTGGACTCCATGTAATCCAAATTAGTCAAAAATTATTTTTATTCCTCCTTAGGTGGTTAACGGTCAATACGATGTTGTCCAACTTCTTTTATCCAACAAAGCCGAAGTGAAAACACGTGATGTTAATGGCAAAACGGTTCTCCATCTAGCGGCAGCCTGTGGACACTTGACTTGTCTTCTGCTGATTATGGACTATATGAGCAAAGACGACATTCTTAGCAAAGATAATCAAGATTGTACTGTGTTGCATTGGGCCTGTTATCACGGTCACGATCAATGCGTTGAACATTTGCTTGCGAAGAATATTTTCGAGGAACTGGAGGGAAACTCTTATTCACCAGTACATTGTGCTTGGTAAGGAACTCTGATTTCAAATAATTAACACAGTATCAGTGGCAAAAAAAAATGTCTATTTGTCATCAAACTGGGCTAAAGTTTGGTAAGAAATAAAATGTATAAGTATATTATAAATAACTTCAGCTATCATCTTGACAATTCACAAACTATAATTGTGACTCCTTTTTTCACTTTAAAAGAAGTTAAAACAACTGTATTATTTTTTATTTGAATAAACTTTTGAAATTTGATGTAGACAGGATAAGAAATAGAAAGTACCTCTCGTTTAGATACAAATGGTCATCGGGCAGAGTATAAAGTATTCTGCTGGAATATATCATATATTCATCAATAATTGAAAACTTTATAGGGTTATTATTAATTTCACTCTGTGAATACATATTTGACGTTTTGTCTTCTTTCAGTCCCTTCTACTTCTACCCTTATCTCCAAGGAAATATAAGCTTGGGAGAATTTTGAAATGTAGTTACTAATTATCAGTTTTCTTCAGTTTTTCAGGTTCTGAAGCGTGTCTTACTCTTCTTCTGGCACACTTCGGTGACAAAATCGTCCATTTGAAAGACGAAAAACTACGCACTCCTTTGCATATCGCTGCTCTACACGGACACAGCGAATGTGCCAAGTTGCTGCTCAAGCACGGGGCTGAGCCTAACGTGGTTGACGAAGAAGGCCGGACTCCTTTCATTGCAGCTGCGCAGTATGGACAATCTAGTGTAGTTGGTGAGTGTTCTGATTTTTCCTACCCAGAAATTCGAATTCCTGCAGTAAAATTTCATGCAATTTACTTGAATGGAACAACTTTTAGTCATCCAAACAATAAAAGAGAATGATAATATAATTATTTATACAATGTGTTCAAGATAAGGAGAGTCATACGACGTCGCTTAAATTTAAAAAAAAGTTGCGCAATTTTGTGCTCATTAAAATGGCGCTTTGATTTTTTGGAAATCCGAGAGCTACCGCAGATATCCGGAAAACCCCGAAATTTTGCAAAATCGATTTTATTTTTTTCTAAGCTTATTTGAAGATATTTCAAAATAAATGTCATTTCATCCTAGCAGCTTTTTCTACTCTACAAGATGTGTCATTTTTATATTTAAAATCTGACGTTTTTCTTTGGGCCACCATCATCAACTTCATTTTTTTAAATTCAGCCCTTGGTTTTTTATTTCAGATTTTAACAGCTTCTGATATCCCAAAACCTCTATTCGAAAAAATATATCTTTTACTTTTCAGTTTTTCCTACCAAAATTCTCTTCTCTGTCTCTCTCCAACATATTAAGTTCCTATGGAAAGTGCCAATGGAAAGTGCCAATAATATAAATTTTTCGTATAAGTGCTGTTTGGGACTTACGTTTTAATGTATTGTAATTTTGGGTAATTTAAACGCAACTTGTATACAGGGTGTCCCACGGTGGATGGCGTATTAGACGTTTATGGAGAACTAAAAAGCGGATCATTTTGAAAATTTGGCAACTGGAATAAACGACCATTACCTACATTTTAAAAATATTTTTGTTTATGCGGTGTTGCCGCTTCTACTCTAAACCAGTGGAAACATCGCTATTTTAAATGGAACACCCTGTATGTGATTGCATATTTGGATTCTACGTAAAATTCTGATCAGATTTCATGTGATATACCCTATACCTAGGTTCAACTGTTTTGGAAATATTAACAGTTGAAAATTGACTTTTTGCAACTTTGACAGGCTGTAAAGCCTGAACGGTTAATTTTAGAGGAAAACCGATTCCACATTCCTATCTTAGATTTTTATAAACTATCATTTGACACCAATTGTGAATTTAATCCATGATTAAAAATTCCTATTAAATTTAATCTCCGGTTAAATTCAAAATTGGTGTCAAATGATAGTTTATAAAAATCTAAGATAAGAATGTAAAATCGGTTTTCCTCTAAAATTAACCGTTTAGGTTTTACAGCCTGTCAAAGTTGCAAAGAGTCAATTTTCAACTGTCAATATTTCCAAAGCAGTTGAGCTTAGGTATAGGGTATATCACATGAAATCTGCTCAGAATTATACGTAGAATCCAAATATGCAATCACATACAGGGTGTTCCATTCAAAATAGCGATGGTGCGACTGGTTTAGGGTAGAAGCGGCAACACCGCATAAACAAAAATATTTTTAAAGTGTAGATTATGGTCGTTTATTCCATTTGCCAAATTTTCAAAATGATCCGCTTTTTAGTTCTCCATAAACGTCTAATACGCCATCCACCGTGGGACACCCTGTATATGTCTTAAATTCAAAGTTTAAATATCAATACTTAATTGCGCGTAAGAATGGCATTTCCATGGACTCTCGCGCGGTACCGTGAAAGAGAGCAAGCATGCGCTCTTGATTGAAGGGACTGGAAGGAGGACAGATATTCAATAGCCAAGGATAGGTGCTGTTGCTGTCCGAAAAGAGGGAACGATTTTTGCCGGCAATCAAACCAGAATCGATTATTTTTAGTGCTTAAAACCCACGCAGTTTCAGGGTAAGTCCCTTATTGGTTTTGCCATTTATCGATTCATGATAACTTTTAAAAATATGTACAGTCACTGATTACCTCGTACAGGTGCAATGCGTAATAGCTATTTATACAATAAGTTACGAAATGAGCGTCTTTTAGGCACGCGACGTGAAAATTGTCCAACGAGGCAAAGCCGAGTTGGACAACACGTCGAGTGACTAAAAGACATCGTTTCGTAACGTATTGCATACAAGATTTTTTCTACTGGCCTTTTATAATAAAAAAACACAATTTTATTTCATGTGAATAAGCCGATCAAGCCCAAAATCTTTGTTACCTGCTTTTGCTTGACACCTGATGCGATTTTTTTTCAAGATTCGACATCAATAATTAAAATCCTGGAAAGTAGGTAACAACAAAAAGTTCTGTTTTGAGTAGCCCAAACGTTCAATTCAATAATTTAATTTTTAATATTCATAATAAATACAGATCAAAATTCAAATCTGTGTTTAGTGTGTTTTTTTTATTTCTGAACAATGAATGACACTTTTAGGCACTAGTGCTTAAAAATCACTTTTACGCACCTAAAAGTCACTTTTACGCATTCAAAAGTCACTTTTACGCACTGAGTGCCTAAAAGTAACTTTCACGCACTCAGTGCTTAAAAGAATGTCGTTTTGAAACTAAAATGACAATCGAAAAGTTGTTTTCCTACGAGCGTGCGCAAAGTAGTACTTTTCCGCACGCATTTCCGGGCTCAAAGTTACACTTTTCCGCACTCAGTGCGGATACAGGCCTTATCCGCACTGAGTGCCGAAAAGTAATTATAATTGTCAAGCAACAATAAGTGCACCTGTCGACTTTGACACATGATGACAAATTTTTCCTCTATTTCTATATCAGCCAACATCTATACAAACACCCATTATAAATTAACTTTAACACATCAGATTTGTTCTCTATTTATATGCAAAAATCTACAAACTTTCTCATCAAATTTAAACGCTTTAAGATGAACAGCTCTGACGAGGATTTTCTGTTATTTTTTTTTGTTATGTAATTTTTTGATAAATGCATAGGTTCCCTTCAAGTTAATTAAAAATAATTAAACAAATTATCGGTTTTTTTTTCAAATTTTTGTTATTACCTACCTGATATGAAGCTCGTAGGAAAAATTTTGTTCCTAACACGTGCGCAAAGTGTCTTTTCCGCACGCAAACACGTATCCGAACTCCGCTTCGCGTCGTTCGTATAACTGTGTTTGCGTGCGGAAAAGTAACACTTTGCGCACTTGTTAGGAAAATAACTATATTATGAAACGTCAGTAGAAAATAGCTATTTATACAATAAGTTACGAAATGAGCGTGTTTTAGGCACGCGACGTGAAAATTGTCCAACGAGGCAAAGCCGAGTTGGACAACACGTCGAGTGACTAAAAGACATCGTTTCGTAACGTATTGTATACAAGATTTTTTCTACTGGCATTTTATAATAAAAAAACACAATTTTATTTCATGTGAATAAGTCGATTACACCCAAAATCTTTGTTACCTGCTTTTACTTGACACCTGACACTTTTCATGCGATTTTCTTTTCAAAATTCGACATCAATAATTAAAATCCTAGAAAGTAGGTAATAACACAAAGTTCTGTTTTGAGTAACCCAAACGTTCAATTCAGTAATTCCATTTTCAATATTCATAATAAATAGAAAACAAAATTCAAATATGTGTTTAGTGTGTTTTTTATTTCTGAATAATGAATGACACTTTTAGGCACTAGTGCTTAAAAATTACTTTTACGCACTCATAAGTCACTTTTACGCATTCAAAAGTCACTTTTACGCACTGAGTGCCTAAAAGTAACTTTCACGCACTCAGTGCCTAAAAGAATGTCGTTTCAAAACTGAAATGACAATCGAAAAGTTGCTATTATGAAACGTCAGTAGAAAAAATTAGTTTTGGGACATCAAAATCTTATAAAATCTAAAATAGAAAATTAAGGGTACGTATTTGAAAAATGAAGTTGATGATTAGAGCCTAAAAGCAACACGTTGGATGTCAAATTCAATCAAATTCGATGTGGCTATTTTGAGCGGCATAATGTTACTACATGGGCTAGATCAGGGGTCAGAATGTCGGGACTGGTTGTCGCACTTGTCCGTTAGAAGTGCCGCATGTTTTGTTTATTTCCCGCTCATTGATCTATTGACATTTATGCGAAGACATTTTAATATTTATTTATGTTGGAGATGGATGCGATAAAGCTACCCACAACGTTTGTTTATTCTTAATGTGAGTGAAAACTTAGATTGTGAAAACACTTATCATGCAATCTTGTTATCCAAAAGCGACATTATTTTCATAAAGCATCTTCGAATACTCCAAGCTATAGTGTCGAATCAAGGTATTTAATGGCTCAGCTAGCTTTTGGAGAGAATGTTCAGTCAAAAGATTTTTATACAAGGTGTCACGAAAGGTTTGTTACAAACTTCTAGGGATCGTAGATCTCGTAAAAATAAAACTTTTTTTTTAATAAACATGTGTCCGAAAATGCTTCGTTTTCCAGATATACAGGGTGGCCCAAATTTCAGCCTCATCATTGGGATCTCGGTAACCCTAAGAGATACGGGGTCGGTTAAATTATGGCAAAGTTGCGCAATTTTATGACCAATGGAATGCCGTTTTGAAACTAGAAAGATTCCGAATACTTCCGGAGATATTCGGAAAAAACCAAAATTTTGTAAAATCATTTTTATTTTTTCCCGGGTGTTTGAGCGTGTATTTCAAGTGGCGAAGGACCACCCTGTGCTCAGGGAAAACAGTGGACTGCAGACGAGCTTCTTAAATGTTTTATTAAAAAAAAATAATATAAAAAAATGCGTGGCAGCGAGCAAATTGACAAACGTGTTTCAAACTTTTTCTATTTTTTCAAAAAGGTGACGTCTACTTGTTTTTTATTTGCTTGGTTACTTCTGTTTTGTTTTTTCTTCTCCAGCTCTTGATTTTCTTTTTCATTAAATACCTACTAACCGGAACATGCCGCCCGCGTTGAAAAGTATACTTTTCAAAAAAGTTATACATTGATAAATACTTAAATAAAATGAACAAAATTTATGCAAAAAATTGCAATTTTAAACAACGTACATCTCTTCTAAAATTTTCGAGAAAATCTAACTTTTGAGAGGAAATTAAATTCTTAGACAGTCGTATCAATAGGTAAAACACAAATTTTTGATAGT